CCGTACCGTCCTACGTACGTACTCTCTCCTCCTCCTCCTCTCTCTCTCTCTCTCTCTCTCTCTCTCTCTCTCTCTCTCTACTGTACGTCCTCCACTCTACTTCTCTCTCTCTCTCTCTCTCTATGACGTCCCCTAACCACTCTCTCTCTCTCTCTCTCTCTGGTACCCTGTGTCCGTAATTACTCAACAAAGTATTTAAATAAGGAGGACGCTCCTCTATTTTGCGAGTGAACCCTATAATTTTCAGGACAATTTCAGTGCAGTCCTTGATTTTGTGGGAAACACCCTTTTATTATTGTTTCTAAGCTATGAGCACCTTGCTAATGTAGCTCGTCATGTTCAGATACAAGTGGATTTGATCAGAAACCCGAAAATTGGGAATTTAACAGGTGGGCGCTGAATTGATGAAGGGTTGATAATTTGACCACCCCGGGATTTGGAGGACCCTTTTTCTTGGGTTGATTTTTGTTTTTTAATGCACAATTCACGTCTTATTTTAATTATCATTTAGTTGTTCAGCACTCTTCTTTGTTAATCTAGAGTTCCAAGTAAGGTAAAAGCGCTTTGCTTATAGTCTAGTTCAGTAACTAGTATTGATCCATAATTGTCTTGCCAAGTGGTTGAAAATTCGGTGACCCAACTCAGAATCATCTGAGTTGCCTTGGACCTGGGGTTTACCTGATCCCGGAAGGACACAAACTGGAAAATCACATGGGTTGTGCAGAACAGGGCGGTTTTGCTGTATTGTTACCATACTGTTCACTGTAGGGACCATTTTCTTTCATAATTTCTTAATACTTAGGGTTTTGTGTAAGTTAGAAATGATGGAGTCCGTAATACAAATTCATTGAACCACAAATGACAATGTTTTAATTATAGGCAATAATCATTATTAATTGGTTGCCTGGACAATGTGGTTGAAACTAGTTAAGATAGTGTCATAGACCGAGTAATGTGTTGTTCATGAGTTTTTTTACTTTGTTTTTTTTTTAATGTTCAGTATTACATTGTATTCGGATAGAGAAAGATGGTGTTTGATTTGGAATGAGAGATACAGCTGTGATTGCTATTTGCTTGTTACTGCATGTTTTAGAAAAAGTTTTTGGTGGTTTTTGGCAGTTTCCAGTGAAGAAGGTGACATAAAAGTAGGGGGAGAATCAAGCCTAAGCATGGATGAAGAAATTTTGATCCCTGGGCTTTCTAATGATGTTGCAATTCTCTGTCTTGTGAGATTGTCAAGAGCTGTTATCCCTATTGCACGTTCAGTTTGTTCTGCTTGGAAGCAATTGCTCGATAGTGATGAATACCCATTGCTTCGTAAAGAGGTGATCTGTTTTTAATTCCTCAATGATTATTTTTAAGACAAACTCATTAGAAGCATGCAATTGGACAGGAAAAGAATGAGTTTGTCGGTTTTTTGTCGATCCTTTGGTCACAAAGTAATCGGCGTTAGTCAACAAGTGAAGTCTAGCCATTCATGAGCATATAGTGAATAAGCCAATATGCACCGAAAATGAATGTGTTTTAGGAAAAGAATCTAATCTTTTTAGTTCCTGGATCCCCTTATATTCTTAGTTTCTCACATTTGTTGGTTTTGTTTATAATATTGGTCTTCAGTTGTACGGTAGCTGTGCTTTAGAGATGACTGGTGTCGCTTATGTTTAAACATTAAAACTGTTGTGTGATAAGTACTCAGGAAAAGAGTGGCGGAATGAATAGTCTGCTTCCCTGTCTGTCTCTGTTTATATTTGGATGGACAATTCTTGTGTTAATTATCCATCTGGCTACCTTCAGTACTGTATTATCAGATTCTATAGAACATGCTATTCATGGCACAATTAGTAATAATAGTTTAGTCAACAGAACCTCGTTGAATCAATATATGTGATCAGTTCTCTTATCTTTTTAAGATGAACAAATGACGATTTATAGGGTTAACAGCCTGATCATATGCCCACGGTCCGATATATGCTATTATTGAACAACTGCTATCTTGTACTTCGTTAGAAATCTGTGTTTTTACGACTTTAATTCTATTACTCCCTAGTCATTGAAACATTTCCCTTATTTACTCAGGCAGGGAAAGCAGAAGGCTGGATCTATGTTTTGCCCGAGCACCCAAGTGGAAACATTTTTAAAGCTTTTAACCCTAAATTAAATAAATGGTATGATTTACCTCGATTACCCGGATTTGGAGATGGTAGTGAATCATTGGCCAGCAGTTGGGAGGGCTTCTCTTGTGTTGCTGTTGAGGATATGTTGTTTATCATGGGTGGCATCTATCGATATCCAGATTCTAGAACAGGTTGGCAAAACTTCTTTCTCAATACTATGCATGATAAAGTGGTCTTTGGTTAAGCGCTGTTTATCGTATTTGCACTAATTGGATGTTTTATTGAAGACTATGAACGATTGTTGTCTTTCAGTATTTGCATCTGGTGATTAATGAATTCTCTGTAGTTAAAGTCTCTATCAAAAAATGTTTGAAGAAGAACTAAACCTGGAAATTTTTTCGCTTCAGAGGTTGTTTTTGCTGTTAATTTTTCAAATGAAGATGGTCATTTTAGCCTCAAATTGTGTACATGTGTTGTAATTGGTGTCATTATGGACAATTTCGTTATTTTTTATGTTACCCATCCATACGAGTACTTTAATATATGGGAAGGCCAATGTGGAGACTGACTGTTTTTTTGCTGTTTGACATGTCATTTGTTCTGTGCAAAATTCTTTTGATCCCCTGCATAGTGTTTGCTGTATTCGTTCTTTTGGTTTTCAGGAAAATATTATGACACTGCTTGTAGCACCTGCATACACGCTTGAAATATTGGGCAGCTGTCTAGAAGAATGGACTGTATGCTATAGTTATTGAAAGTATGGTGTTGGATACTTGGACCTGTGAGCCATTGTTCTTCTTACAAGACACTGCATACTTTAAGCTTCAAAGTGGACAGTGGCTCATCTCTGTTGGTACACATTGATGGACAACACAGGGTCTGAATGCCCAACACTGTAATTGCAGCGGAGTATGTGATATATTCTCTAGGCATAATTTATCATTTAGACAGTATTTTAAAAAATCGAATCGATTGGTTGAACCGGCGATCACCCGGACTGGTCCAGATTCGCGATCTTGAATGGTGAATTGGCAGCAGATCGAGATGATCATCATCATCAGAGCCTTTGCGCAACTATATGGGATTGGCTACATGAATCCTAGTCCACTATTGTGCTCTATCAAAGGCCATACCCTTAGTGAGGTCAGATGTCCCCATGTCTTTTCTCACTACTTTCAACCATGTCTTTTTGGGCCTGCCTCTTACCCTGTTTTAGCTTCCCACTTGAACCAACTCACACCTCCTAACAGATGTTGTATTGGTTCTGTGCTATAAAATGGTCAGCTCAGCTAAGTGAACTTCCTCTCATGGCAACAGATCGGGAAATGATAAAAAATAGAAAGTAATGGGCATCGGATGGTTCTAGTTCGTTCGAGAACCAGATGGCCCACCCACTGGAACTGATTCAAATTTGCGGTTCCCAATGAAGATCGTCGTGTTTTTAACCCTGTGTAAGAAAATGAATTTGAATATCATGCGGCTACCTGAACTAGTTACTTCTTCTATTACTGGCTACTTGACCTTGTCTAGTATTTAAAGCATCATATCAAGTTCACACCCATTTAGTACAATAGCAATAATGATAATACCGACAATAATAATGTTTGGTAAGCACCTAATGAGATTCAAAGTTTTTGGAGCGCCCAGACAATCTACTTAGGTGCTCCAAGCACTGTATCTATAACTTCCTTTACTTTTTTTCCTCTTTCTTTGGTTGTTCTTACTCAATCAGGTGTACTTATCATTCCATAAGTTCATCATAATCATCATTATCTATGCCTTATCCCAATTATTATTCCATGTGCTACCTAGTGAAAAAAATGTACAAGAAAATAAAAGTTAACAAGACTTGTTGTCTTTGGCAGGTGTGGTCACTGGAATCATGAAAATATATCACTCTCGATTAAATAAGTGGTTGGAAGGTGTGAGCATGATGACCCCACGGAGTTGGTTTGCTGCTGCATCTATCGGTAAACGAATATATGTTGCAGGTGGCCAAGGAAGGACGGGGTTTCTTTCCACTTGTGAGTTTTATGACGTCGAAATGAATGCTTGGTTCACTGCCCCAAACATGGCTTGCGTGAGGTCTAGTTGTCGTGGAATTGCCTATGAGGGACGTTTTTGGGTGTTGGGAGGAGAGTTTGAGAGGCATCAACATGGGCTGCGGCCAGTTAAGGGTTCAGCTGAGGTTTATGATGCGAAGTCTGGGAAATGGGTTTTAGTTCGTGAGATGTGTGTGGACATTCACAAGGTAAAAGGAGCAAGTCTTTTTGTTATCACTTTGTTCCCTTTAATCTTTGGATTTCTTTGCTTCTGTCAGTGGTTTGCATTCATCACCCATGCATGTGTGCTTGTTACTCTGTAATGGAAGAATTATACCTTTTTAGTGTTGAGAAAGCTCAATTTTGGTTTTCCATCATTGAGTTCGTCTTAAATGATGTACTTCGTTACATTATGTGTGAAGCATAAAATGGGTATTGCGAACTTCTGAAGATATTGTTTACGCTTTCTCAAATAAATAGTGTATTAAACTTGATTCAATACTTCAATTTTATGGGATTTTATACTATGAGACCATTTATCTTTGTTACAAGGAGGTTAATTACTGCTAGCCATCAGTTGCCAAATTGGATGGCTTGGGGTGTATCATGAATGAAGCTCAAGAAATTTCTTTTGAACTTGCAGTCTAGTCAGTGACACTCAAGAGTGATTGTGATCCTTGTACTAAAAGTAAATGGTCTCTATGTATACTTTCTCCTATTTTATTGAGGTTGTTAAGCATGATTTCATGTGTCAGACATATTGATATTCATATACAATTGAAGAATATATTATCTGTTTTTGAAAATGGTCGGGATGATTATTTCTCGTTTAGCCATAATGGCTGTGAGTGTAACCAGTGTTCGAAAAAATGGATTCGGCAGCTTCGGCAGCCCGTCTAGGAAGTTGGGGGTTCTGCACTCCAAAGATGGTGTTTGAGGTGTAAAGTTGAAAATTAAAAAACATAATTTGTGTCCTTTGCGTCATGCAAATTTCTGTTTTAAATTTGAAATTGAAATACTAAGAGTCTCAAACTATAAAAGATCAATATTCCCATATCCCAAAATCAATATTCTGCATTATCATGAGATTTTTATTATGATTGGCTCGCCCAGTGTTAACAAAATGCCATTAATCACAAACCAAAATCCACTCTTGAATATGGGTCAGAAATCCGAACATAAACTTGGAAAAAGGTGATGGCATAGCAGCTTGTGGACACTTGAAGAGTACTTGTGCATCCTACACTGATTCAGATTGAACCTAGCCTCATCTATTTTTAATTATTTATTTAGAAATTATATTTATTGAGCTCTAAAGTAATTTTTATAAGGGGAACCAAATAAAAATAATAAAAATATTTTCAACAAAAGAAATATTGACCGAAGTGCATTTTGGGGTATTTTTCAATCATTTTTTGTTTAATTTATTGTATTATTTTTATTTAGTTCCCCTTACAAATGGTAATTTACACCATAAATTTCTTGTAAGGACAATATTGAGATAACATAAAAAAAGAAGAGAAACTAGATTTTAGCCATTCAATTTGAACCGTTGGAAGGGTGTTTCTTGTCACGCCCCAAAAAAAGGTTAAGCATTGTTCCTCGAAGGCTTGTACACTATGTACATAGACCCATTTTTTTATTACTTGGGCCTGGAAGGTTCTAGAGAACTCTAGGGCATTCATGAGGGTTCTAGTGGGTTTTTAGATGAGTCTCAAGGGGCTGGGCTTTGTAGAATGCTCTAGAACTTTGTATGGGCTAGAAGGTTCCTAGCCATCGGATGTGTGCCATGTGGATGTATCTAGACCGCCGGTTGTTAGGCTTTGAGCCTATATAAGGGGGAGGACCACTCATTTGTATAACACCTCAGAAGAGTGAGGAATACTTGGACCTCATAAGCATTCTTGTATATTCTAAGCCAACTTGTGTGTCCCTCTCTTGTGTGTTTGCATGGCTACTCTCCTTGTGTGTGGTGCATATATGTGGGTGAAGCTAGTGTGTGTGGGTGGTGTGCACTAGGGCCGTGACATTGTGCACCCTTCGAACCATCCACATGAATTGGGTGGGAGACTTTTGCAACAACAAAAGACAAGAAAAAAAAGAAAAAGAAAAAAACTAAACCCAACATTCATATAAATCAACAATCTAAACTAAAGATTTAAATATACCAACCTTTCAAGATGTAATAACTCTTGGCTCGAATCAGTGATCTTTGGTTGTCAAAAGTCTTCTTTCACAACCACTTCAATCGACAAAAAGCATAGGATTGAAACTTTTCGGTTACGCAAGAAATCGTAAAGTTCTGGAAAAAACAATCGATCTTGAAAAAAGTCTTAACACATCTTGATTTTTTGAGTTTTTTCTCTTTTTAAAGCAAGGATACTTGGCTTTAGGGGCTTTTGCTTAAAGAGGTGGAAAATGATCTAAAATGCCCTTGGCAGAGGTCATTTTTCTGCCCTCCCGCAAGGCTTGAGGCGCCACCTAGGCACCTAGACTGATGCGGGTGCCCAAGCACCTCGACTCCCCATGTAGGCCAGTTCGCTTCACTTAGGCCTAGGCAGCCTGCCTAATCGGCCTGGCAGCTGAATCTTAGAACACTAAGTGTAACATGAATCAGCGAGGATTTAACAGAACCTTCTGGATTTCTTGAATCATGGGGCTGACAAGTTTCAATGATTTTCTGGTAATTTTGGATGATAAATCCTTTGAGAAATTTCAACTCTAAAATTCAACTTACCTCTGAGTTTCAATAAATGGTATTAGCTTATTGGGAATCTTGCCTATAATTTAGATAATTCAGCCACCACCATTTGCGAAAAAACATTTTTTCCCTTCCTTTTCCCCAAAATTATTGAATTGTCCATGCCTGAACCCCGAGATCAATTGTACAATTTATGTCTTATGACTATAGGCTTAGTTCCCTGCTGATTTTCCTTTTCTATTTCTATTATGTTCTGCATTGAAGGTTCCATGGCCGTGTACTATCCAAGAAGGAAAATTACTGACTCTTTATCGAGACCGTATCATGTCCTATGATGTGGACCAAAACAGGTGGGAAGACATGGGGAAAACTTGGGCTTCAATGCCTTATGGTACAGCATTTGAGAGTGTGGGTGGTTGTGTTTTTGGCATCGGTGGCCTCGCCTTCATAGCATCGAGACCAATGATGAGCAAGAACCTAAGCTCAGTTCACTCCTCGAATCTTAGTCGATCCGGGCTCTGTTCTGTTACATGGAAAAAATGTGCAGACATACCTGGAGCTTCAGGTACCATTCTTGCTTCTTGTGTTTTGTATTTGTAACTTTGCTTTACCCTTTTTCCTGGTTCTTCAATTCGAACGAGGGGGCATGGCCCCTCAGCTTAGTGATTATGGCTTGGGGGGGTGGATTTGGGTTTAAAGCCTAACTTAGGCACCCTCTCTCTGACATGAAGTTAAATGAACAATGAATGAAGGACAGGATAGATGCTTTTGTTTTTCTTCACCTCTTGTATGAAATATTATCTAATCCTTCATGTTGTACTCATCTATAGTTTTTTTACGAACTGCGTTCCTTTGATTTCTGTTTCCTAGAAGCATGGTTGAATTTTATGCATTTGAAATGGCTCCAAGTTTTCTATTCAGCTTAATTAGACATTACATCTTCACCATCACCGTTTCCCTGTCTCGGGGATATTCTATCCCCCTAGTTGTCTTATTCTGTACCGTGATTCTTCATTTTTACAAAGCCCTGTTACATGCACTATTGTTATGTTGCAGGGCATCATCACCATCCATTTCACAGATGCACTAACAAGTTGGTTAGGAGTATGGAAAAATGTATTCGGTGAGTCGGCCAACTCATGTGTCCAACTTGGTTTTTGAAGGATTTATGACTTGAAACACATCCTAAATCACTGTAAATCCATTTTCACTTTAAATCCATGGATTTGGAGCTCCATAATGTAGATCTAGTGATTTTTGAAGAACTAAAATGAACAGTCCAAGAAAAAAATATAAAATAAATTATTTTTAATGCTCAAAGTGCCTTTTAAAAAAGAATAAAAAAATTCATGATCTTTATGGTCTAGACGTTCGTTCTCTTGTAAACTTTTGGATTCAAAATCACTCCAAAAAGGATTTTGGGAGGGTGTACTCACTGTATCATGCGCATCCCCGTCTGTACCAAAATCTTGGCCCACTTGTATTGCACCATCTTACATGCTTCCTCATTTACGTGGTACTCAATAAAAGGGTTAGGGTTTAGGTGTGTTTTATTTGCATCTACATCCCAAAATGCATGTTGGAGATGGATTGAAGAACTGGGTCTTATCGTCTCTACCACTGCAATTATGGATTTGGAAAGAGAAAATTGAATTTTGAGCCTCAAAAATAGCCCTAGTCCTATGTTTTCTTTTGAGCGTTCATTTTTATTATTAAAAAAACATCAACAATACGTTTATGGTCTCCAAATCCCTGCATATGAGGCATAAATGCATTTGTAACTACTTAGTATGCGTATTAGATCCTTGAACCACGTGGGACATATGAGTTCTCTGACCCATTTAGAAGATGATGTATTCTTAAACTTGAGAGGAATGATGTATTTTCGGTTGCGGTTACATGAAGGCAGCGCATTTGTAACTATTCAGTATGCGTATTAGATCCTTGAACCCTTAAAACCAGGTGGGACATGACTCACATACATAGAACTTTAGTGCATTTGTAACTATTTAGTATGCTTATTAGATCCTTGAACCCTTTAAAACCAGGTGGGACATGACTCACATACATAGAACTTTTGCCCAAAAGATCTTGTATTTTTAACCTTGAGAGGAATGATGTATTTTCGGATGCGGTTACATCTTTACTTGTGTGATTTAATCCAAACGTTGTCAAAATTTGACCCTTGAGAGGAATGATGTATTTTCGGATGCGGTTACATCTTTACTTGTGTGATTTAATCCAAACGTTGTCAAAATTTGATACGCCTTTTAAGAGAACCTGAAATTTATTCCGTTCAACTAAAATGGACGATGTTACAATAAAGGCAGCTATCTTTTTTATTTTTTTGTGTAGGTTAGGTTGATGGTGTTCTACACCGTTCATTTCATTTTAGTTGGATGTTGGGATTTATCCGAACGTTGTCAAATTTTGATACGCCTTTTAAGAAAATATGAAATTTATTCCGTTCCAACTAAAAATTAACTTATTGTTGCTCAACCAGATTACATCCATCCGCATTGAAGCAGTGCCCTATTTGAGATTCAGCTTGATTCTTCAAAATGATAAACCTAAACTGCTGCAAAAAAATGTGAAATTTATTCGGTTCAACTAAAATGGACGATCTAGGTTACAAGAACAAAATGATAATCCTAAAATGTGAAATTTATTCCGTTCAATTAAAATGGACGATCTAGGGCAGTGCCCTATTTGCCTGATTATTCAAAATGATACTCCTAAAATGCTGATACTGCAAAGATTTATTTGAGATTCAGCCAGATTATTCAAAATGATAATCCTAAAATGCTGATACTGCACAGATCTATTTGAGATTCAGCCTGATTATTCAAATACTGCAAAGATGTGCAAGTACAAGCGTCAAAAACACATTAAACCATTTTATGATAGAGATCTTGCAAAGATGAGCAAGTGGAAGTGTCAAAGACGAACCACTACACTTTATAATAGATATCATGAGCCTAACTCACGGAGGCTTGCTTATGGAAGTTTTTCGAAATTCTTATTTCTGAACTATCAATATTTTTGTTATTGCGTCCTATTACTCCTTTTTTTAAATTTATTTTTTTACCAAATAGGACTCTACCCTGATTGGCTAGTGATGAATTCGGGATACCCCAGAATTTAGTACCATATGTTTGTAGGACACCTTTTAATGCGGTATGGGTCTATCCCAAGGAGAGAGTAGGAAAGAAACAGGTTGAGATAGATAAAGAGAGGTTAGGGAGAGAAAGGTTACATGGAGCCTATGTTATAGACAGATGGGTTGAGAGAGAAACATTGACAGAGTGAGTGAGAGGGAGAGAGGTTACATAAACGGTTTGAGAGAGAGAGATTATTAGTACGAGTTGATCAAAATAGAAATAAAAATACAAAAAAATCATATAAATCAAAGGGACATCAGTAAGAGTTGATCAAATTAGAAATAAAAATAAAAAAAATTTATATAAATGAAAGGGTAAGTACAAGGTCAATAGGTTAAACACAAAAAATATGTATAAATCAAAGGGCAAGTAAAAGGTCATTATGTTTTCATTACGTACATGAATTTGAATGACCAAAAAGACTATGAGGAGAATCTGAGTGTGCATGAATTTGAGTGACCAAAAAGAATATGAGGAGAATCTGAGGGACCAAAAAGATGATCCTGTAGTTCTCAATTTCATGGAATGTGTTGATTTCATGGAATGCATGTAGTTATCAATTCTCAATTCAATGGAATGTGTTGATTTCAAGGAATGCATGTAGTTATCCATGGAATGTGTTGATTTCATGGAATGCATGTAGTTATCAATTCTCAATTCCACGAAATGTTTTGATTTCATGGAATGCATATAGTTATCCATGGAATGCGTTGATTTCATGGAATGCATGTAGTTATCAATACCATGGAATGGGTTGAGTGGATCAATGGAGGGTTGATTTCATGTAATGTATGAGGGTTAATTTGTCGAGTGGATGTGTTGATTTCATAGAATGCATGTAATAATGAATTCCATGGAATGTGTTGAGTGGATCAGTGGAGTGTTGCATGTAGTTATCAATTCCATGGAATGTGTTGGAGTGGATGAATGGAGGGTTGATTTCATGGAATGTATGAGGGTTAATTTCATGGAATGCGTTGAGTCAATGGAAAGTGAGGGTTGATTCCATGGAATGGGTTGAATGGAATGTGAGGGTTGATTCCATGAAATGGGTTGAGTCAATGGAATGTGAGGGTTGATTCCATGGAATGGGTTGGGTTGGGTTGGGTTGAGATGAGTCAAATGGAATGTGAGGGTTACATTCCTTGGAATGCGTTGAGATGAGCTTCTGGAGGACCGCCCTTCAATAACCCGTAGTTATCAATTCTTTAGAATTCCTTGGAATATTGAGTTACTACTTAATAATTAGAGAAAAAAGTTTAATTATTAGTTAATAATTAGAAAAAATAAAAAGAAAAAGGAAAAGGTTGCCTGTAAATTTTACGGCTCCTGCTTGTAATTTGGGGCTTAGAATTTATAGCATTCATCTCTGCATAGAATAATCAATTATATATAAAGCATGATTATTGACTATTCTAACTTATACTAAGTGCATTTTTCATAGAATATCAAACAAATGTAGAATTTTATTATTTCGAAAAAGAATTTCCATTTGGCAACTATCTAGGTTAAACAAAGTTTCAATTATATATATATATGGAAAATGCTGAGATTAACTCACTAACTCATATGAACGTATGAGCCCAACGGTTCAAATTGAATCTGGGCCGATCTGACGGTCACAATCTCATTTCGTGTTTGAATTTTATTTTATTTTTATACAAATCCAAATAACTTGAAATTTTAGGCTAAAAAAAATATTTTAAAAATAATTCACAATAAATAAATTGACCAAAGTATCATTGAAACTTTTCAAGGATATTATGGTCAATTTATTTCTTGCAAATTATTTTTTTGATATTTTTATTAGATTATCCTATTTTCGAAGAACACACGTTTAAAATTTCAAGTTATTTGGATTTGTAGAAAAAAAAAATTAAAATTAAAATACGAAATGAGGTCGTGACCGTTAGATCGACCCATATTCAATCTGAGCAATTGGGATCATATGAAATCATATGTTCATGTGAGCTAGTGGGCTAAAATGCTGAGATTAGCCCACTAGCTCATATGAACATATGAGCCCAACGGCCAAATTGAATTTGGCCGATCTGACGGTCACAACCTCATCCGTATTTTAATTTTAATTTTTTTTCTAAAAATCCAAATAATTTAAAATTTTATGAATGTATTTTTCTCATCAAGGTGCTCTTAAAAAAATATTTTAAAAATAATTCGTAAAAAATAAATTGATCAAAATACCCCGGAAACATTTCAGGGGTATTTTGGTCAATGTATTTTTTGCAAATTAGTTTTTTGATATTTTTATTAGATTCTTCTATTTTTGAATAATATAGTCTAAAATTTCAAATTATTTGGATTCGTAGAAAACAAATTAAAAATCAAATACGAAATGAGATCGTGACCGTCAGATCGGCCCAGATTCAATCTGAGCCGTTGGGCTCATATGAACATATATGTTCATATGAGCTAGTGGGCTTATCTCAGTATTTTCCATATAAGGAGTGATTTCATATAATGGTTGTATAGTGATACAATGAAACAACCTTAAAAAAAAATATGCTACAGCCATTTGTTTAACCCTAATTTTTAAATAACTCTTTTCAATCTAATGAACAATTATACAAAAGCAAAATTTGAAAACATGCCCCAGAAAATGCTTTTTGAACCCAATTAATATAAACCATCCATTTTAGTGAGATGCTTAGATCTAGATCTTAGAAGGATTTTTTTTTTTTATATAGTTTTAATATCATTAAATTAACAATGTTAAAAAGGAAAATTTTGATTTTGAATTCATAAATGCCTAAATCTTAAAATTCACCAAATAGACGGTCCAGATTCATTATTGGAGGACATTTATTTCAACCATATCTAGAGGCAAATTGAATTTTTCTTTTTTGAATTTTAGGAACCAACATGCTATGGTGTCTTTCTAGGGCTTTTATCATTGTCGCATGCACAATGTATTGCTTAGTCCAGGAAAAATCGAACTCGAATGGTTAACCAGATATGGGGCCAAAAGTGGCTCCAAAAGCCTAACCGGTAAACCGGTCGGTTCAACCAACCTAACCGGGTAATTCTTGGGCGGTCAAAAAAATGTTAATAAAATACAAAATAAAATGTAATAAAATATGAGAAGTATTTTTAAAGAATGATTAAAGAAAGCCCATATGTTGAAAATTAATGAAAAAAAAAGATTTTAAAGAATCTATTTGTGCTCAAGGGTATTTTTGATATTCTCAAAAAAGATAGGAGACGAAAACCTTTTTCAATATTTGCCAAAATGATAAAAATATTTAGAAATACATTCCAAACAAAATCCCTTATTTTTGGCATTTTATATAATTTTTTTTAAAAAAATAAAATACCGGACCAGTTCACCAAAACCAAAACCGGCCCATGGCTGCTTTCAATTTAACCGGGCAATTAGAATTTGAACCGCCCAATTTTTCCTGCATTGGTTCAGCTTGGAAATATCTATTTTGACAGTGATGAATAATGAATATGCATTGCTTCGTAAAGAGGTAATCCTATTTTTCAGTTATATCTTTTTAATATTGATCTTCTAAGTCTTCTTTGTGTAGTCACAACTCATTAGGCCAATTCCTAAGAATTATTTAGCAAAAATTCAAGAAGTATACAGGTTTTGTTCTAAAGTCGGTGAGATATGAATAGTAATTCTAGTGAAAAATGAAAAATAGGTAATTGAGAAATTGATCAATTTATGGGCTAGTAACTAACCTAGTTTCTAACTAAAAAAAAAAAAGATAATGACCTTACCGCCTATCAGTGTCAAAGGCAGTACTTCCATTTGAAACTTTGGAAGGACAAACGTAAAACTCAAATATTTTGTCGAGAAATTCCTGAAGAGAGTAAAAGGACATTTCCAAGAAAGCAAAGAAGTTTTAATGTCAATTCTTATTCTCCAAATACCATAATATGACGCTTACGTAGTGGTGTCTATCAGATGTGATGTCCATTTTTGCAAATCATATCTCAGTGGGTCGTAAAGAAATCCTATTCGGGTAAAAAACATATTAAAAAAAAAAAAGAAAAAAAGAAAAATATTGGAATCTCCATGGCCCCTTTAGTGAACAAGATGGTTTAAATGAGTCTAGGAAAGTTACACGTAACCAATTAGCTTGGTTCTACCGGCCTAACCGAGCAAATCCGGAGTGGTCAAAAAAATATTAAAAAATAAATTAAATATAATAAATATAAAAATATGTTTAAAACATGATTAAACAAAACACGTCTAAATGAAGTTAAAAATTAATTAAAAAATAAATCTTAAAGAAGCAATTTATGCTCAGGGTTATTTTTTAAAAAAAAATTAAAAAAAATTAAAAAAATGTAAAAATACATATTAATGACCAAAAGAATTTTTAATCTTTGCCAAAATGATGAAAAACATTAAAAAATACATTACAAACATAATTTTTTATTTTTTAAATTTTATATATTTTTTTGAATAATTAATGTAAAAATATTTTCACACCAAACCACATGAGTAAATCGCCCCAAAGTGTCCACCCTCCCCCACTTTGCAAGCTAGCCTTGGAAGCATTTAATTCACCCAGAACATGGCACACACTTCCTCTTGGCCACAATGAAGGAACTCAATAACAAATTTCCAAAAGAAAAACCTCCCCCACTTTGCAGGCCTTGGAGGCATTTAATTCACCCTGAACTTGGCACACACTTCCTCTTCGCCACAAGGAAGGAACTCAATAACAAATTTCCAAAAGAAAAACTGAAAAATAAATTTTTTGAACTTGATGAGCACAAGAATCTCTTTTGAGGGCCTCCCTATAAAAAATCTTTTTAAAAATCTAGCACCATTATTTCTTTCCTAAAATGGATAGCATGCATGCATCCCCAAAACCCACTTTCAAGTTCTTTTTTTTTTAAAAAAAAAAATCCTATAGAAAATAAATATTCAAGATTTTTTTATTTAATTTTTTTCATGATGTACTCCAAGGCCAAAAAAATGGATGTACCAAATTTGGGTGAAACAAATGCCAAGGCCCTAAAATACGGAAAGCGGTGATTGTTCTTTTGCACCCATCAAAATTTTTTCCCTTTAACAGAAAAGGAAATACAATCAAAAAGTTGAAACAATGCTAAATTCTCCTTGCCACTCAGGTAGGAAATTAGAACCACACAGTCCCCTCTATGGCTAATCAGCAGGCAGGACCAATCTCATTTTGCCGTCTCCATCTCTTCTGATGAAATTTATTTATTCAATTTTTCACTAGGCTCTTTCGATAAAATTTAGCAAGCCCCATCTTTCAATTTTCTCTTTTGATAAAATTTAGTCCGTCCGAATTTCCTTCTTTTTCCATTTGCACTACTAGTTGAAGAGGCATCAGTCACATTGTTCAACAAGTTCAACAAACTGGTTCAAAGACCCAAGAAGGTCCCCAAAGGCCTTAACTAGCTCATCAGCTTGCTGCCTTTTTAGATTTATTTCAGCCTCAGTAAACTTCTCACAGGGATCTTCAGCAAGACTTCTCTGTAATATTTCTTGTATTGCTTGCGAGTTTTCGTGCAACTTTTCAGCAATCTCATGTTCCTTGTCAATCTTACGTGCCTGAGGAGGAGGCTTTGTTGTCTTCGGTTTCTTTGTTGAACGAACACGCACAGCTTTGTTTAATGCTTTAGGGGCAGTCAGAACTATTGATAATTGAGAAATATGTGATCATCTCAAACAAAGGAAAAATGCACGGAAAAGACAGGCACAAATAGAAGGAAAATAGCAGGTTGGGTCAACAAACATGTTCGGGTTTCTCTTTTTGGTCCTTTTCCATAGTTGATGGCATTCCCTCTTCAAAGTAAATATGTAAAAGGAAAAAAAAGTGGAAACAAAAATATACTATAGTCGAATAGCCTCTCCACAGTCCATTGGGCACACCACCATTCAATGAAAAGATAACGGGCAACGGAGACAGTGGGACCCACCAGAACATCACAATGGGACTCACTCTCCCCATCACCATCTAGCAATTAATCGAATGGTGATGGCCCCAATAGATGGGTTTTCTTCTATTGACCATTGTATTATACACTCCTATAGACTTATGAAAGCAAGCCAAAGCATACCTGAGTTGAATTCATTATCCCCATCATCGTCAGCCAAGTTGATGAGGCCTTCAGATCCACTATCTGCCCTTGAATTAGGTCCAGCCTCTCGAGTCGTGAGAAGCTCATTGATCAAATCATACAACTCCTGATCAAACAAGAACAAGACACCAACAACCTCCTTCATCTGGTCAACATTAACTTTCCAAAAGGAACCAATCCCAGATTGCAATTCCCACTCTTTTATCTTTTTATAATCCGAAAGCATCATTTCCCACTGCCTTCGACACTGGTTTGCTGACCTCATGACATCCAAAACCCCACAATTCTCTGATACAATCTTCCATTTTTGGTAAACTGAGAGACCCAAACACTCCTCCTCAGCCGAACACACCTCCCTTACAAGGATAAGCATTTCAGTTAGGGTCCACTCTGGTGCTGCCCGAGACCGGGTGTACCGAGAAATTGTCTGAATGGAATCAGATTCGATCTTCTTTTGATGGGCTTCACGCCTATTGGTTGGTGTATGTTCTGCGGGTTCTTCCATTTAAGGGAACGCAATATGATTGAACTACATTAAATCCAGAATTAGCAATTGCTGACATGGGCATCACAAGAGAAGGTTTTAAGTAGGTGGAAGACAATAAGTCCAATAAAAATAACTAGAGAGAAGAAGTCAAGCACTTTAGTGGGCAGAATGAGCAAAATGACAAGGATGAGCAGACCAGAATTGGAAACAAATATTCTCGAGGTTGCAAATTAGTAGAGGAAGGAATTTAGTAGATCTGACACCCACATGTCAATACGCATGCCATGCATACACTCACACACGAGAAACATCTTCTTAAGAGCTCAGGCATAAGCACAGTGATCTCAACTCCAATTGATATAAAGAGATGGTGCTCTCAACTTTGGTAATTTTCTTATGTAAAACTTAAAATTGATCATAACTGAGACAAACTAAATATTTTATGCTGAGGATTGAGACAAGGGGATCAAGCCCCGAAGTGTTGTGGATCAACCTTACAAGAAATCAACTAGCCAGCAAGTCAGTATCCATGATTGAATATAGAATCAAAAGACTCAAAGATATATCCAATATCCCCGAGATTACAATAAAACAAAATAAAAATGGAAAAACTGATTAAAATGCATCGACATAGAGATCCCATCTTATAACATACAAATAGTCAACTTTAATGACTAGCACACAGTGAGAAACTTCAGCAACATTAAGAGAAATTATGCCCCTTGAAAACATAAGGCAGATTTAGTAAATGCATGTAAAAATTTAACATTTATCGTCAATTCTCACTCTAAATAAGAATTATAATGATGCATAACCTGGCCATATTGCTGCTAATAAAACAATTAAAACCCCTTATCCTCATTATTATGGCTCTAAATTATAACCAAATTATTTGCCCCAGTTTCATATAAGTAAATTAATTACTCCACTTCCAATTTGCACAAAATAATGCTAATACAGATATCAAAATCAATAAACATAAATCATCTTTTGCAGTAAATACATAATCAATGATGAATCAATAAACAAACAAAAGCCACAATTCTCCTTCACAGCGATGTCCAAGCTTCAAGTTCTTCATTTTTCATAGAAGTAGCAGTAGCTCCAATAATGTCCATAAACCATAAAAAATCGATTTATTACATAAAATTTCTTATTTCTACTTCTCTGCCCTATCCACTCCCCCTACATTGAATCAACACCATCAATTGTCAAACAAGGGTTTGTTGAAGCCGCAGAAGATGTCCGCAAAAAGATAAAATAAAATAAAAATTCATGCACAATTACAGTTGCGAAATTTCTCAGTGAAAAATACTTGCCAGCATAGACAAAACGAAATGGAAATAAAGCAGGACAAGTAAAAAACAAAGATTAGATCTTTTATGAAGGTCAATAATCCAATTAAAAGAAGAACGACATAACAATGAGGCATCTAAATTAGGGCTACAGATAAGTCAGATAAAGCAGGTACCTGTGAATCTCTAACTCTAAAGCATGAAGCTTTCGGATGATTTCGCCCAAAATCCGGAATAAAAAGGTCCAAGTTTCAATGGAGGATGTGATCTCTCTGTCTGAAAAATGAAATTTGTAAACTCTCTCTCTACCGTCTACTGTCTACTCTGTCTCTCTCTCTCTCTCTCAAAAATGAAATTTGTAAGCTCTCTCTCTCTCTCTCTCTCTGTAAAATTTCTCTCTTATGTCATGTGAAGACATGCGAAAGAGCACTTCGTCATTCACATATGAGCTTCTACGTTTGTATAGGCCATCTTGCTTGGAGCACATGAAAGTTACAATGATTTTCAACCGTCTCATTTTAAATTGCACGGCTCCAATTGTGCCACAAAGGTAAAATAAAATTTATTAGGTGACGAACTTGGTTAAGAACTAAGAGTACGGCCCCTGCCGCCCAGATAAAGATCCATCGACTAAAAGCCATTGCGACGTTCCTGTATAAAAGTAAATGTATTTAAGGAAATTTATTAGTTTTTAAAAATAAAAAAAGTGTTTGGTGAGTTGGCCGACTCACATTATTTGTGTAGTGTATTTATTAGGTTTTGAAAATAAAAATGTTTGGTAAGTCAGCCGACTCACATTATTTGTGTGTAGTATCCCTACAAAATATATCTCAAAAGACGTATTTTCAATTCAAAATTTTAGGGCTCTATAATCTTAACCATAACAATGATCTAAATTTAGATTATTATTTTTTTTCAAAACATAGAAATGTTAAATAGACGAGGGACCGCACAATAATAGGTGGGTTTTGAAATACCCATAGGATTTATATGACTTTTTACCTGAATTTGATTAATTTTATTCAAAACACCTGTGAAATGACACATCATTGTGAGTTAGAATAGTTGTAATTGTGTAAAAGGAGATATATTTTGTCCAATAATCCTCAATTGTGTATTTGTTATTTTTATCTGAAATTCCTAGATGAGTTGCATGTTTGTAAAAAATTTAATATTCATTATATTTTTATGTAAAAATTATCAATATATACATATATAAAAGATGAACTATTTAATATTTTACATTTTTTTTTTTTATTTAATCTCAAACTCCCTATCCAAAACATACACACTCATGGCTTCGAATACTTGCAAATGGGTAAAACATTAAATAGTTGATATGTTCGGTTAATTTTGATAAATTTTCCTTTTTTAAAAAAATTCAGGTTATTCATTTCTAGATCCTTCCATAGCATATACCATTATATAAGTCAGAAGGCTTGCAAAATCATGGCATTTGAAAACTTCCTTGGTGAGTGCTTGGCTTACATGCATCGAGGCCCCATTAGCTCGCTCAAGATCCATTCTAGTAACATGGATCTCTTAGAATTTAGAAAAGGACACGGTCACCTCTTAAAAATTTATTTTAGGGATGGATTTTTTCACCTAATTTTCGAGGACATGTAACCTCCAATATGAATATTATGAATATAAAAAAATAAATAAAATTAAAAAATTAAAAATAATAATTCTATTAAAAAAACATTTAGACCGTTAGTTTAAATTGTTTTTAGATGGACCACCTATTTGCATCCATCTTTAAGATGGATGCCTTATACCTCGGGGGACTGCAAATGTACAACTGCGGAGAAACAACTTTCCCTTATAAAATACATTTCCAAAAAATAGAAAATATGTAATGAGATCATTTACCTTTCGTACAAAGTAGTCACAAATAATCTTGACCACTGGATGTGAAAAGGACATGTTTCCATTAGTTCATGTAGACATGAGTCACCTCTTGAAAATCTATTTTTGAGATGCATTTTTTGACCTGATTTTCAAGAACATGTAATCTCTAACATGGAGATTATGAATATAAAAAAATAAATAAATTTCGAAAATTAAAAACAATAAGTCTATTAAGAAAACATTTGGACCATTAGTTTCAACTGCTTTTAGATAAACCACCTATTTGCATCCATATTTAAGATGGATGCTTTATATCTCGGGGACCGCATATTGTAGAAATGCGGTCCAGCCAGCATGAAACAATTTTCCCTTAAAAAATACATTTCCAGAAAGGGAAAATATATTAGGAGACCATTTACCATACAAGGTAGTCATAATTAATCTTGACTATTAAATGTGAAATTACGTGGTTGCATTTATTTCTTTTTTTTTTTTTTGGGGGTAGATCAATGGAGAATACAGGCCCTACCCGTTTTTAGAAATAATTAGTGGTTTTCGAATGCGTCATGAGAGTGGAAACCTAAACCGGTAATTGAGGCTCATTTATTTCATTGACTAAGCTCAAAATTCAAAAAAAAAAAATTTCAAACTTTGTGACACACCTAAGCTATCAAAATCATTGGATACCACGTGGAATGCACATTCCCTGAATTTGGTTTATTTGGAACAAACATTTCCTAAAATATCATTCTTATCCATATGCCACTGGAAATGCACATTCCCGACTCACTTATAACGTACTTTTCCTAAAGTATCACTCTTATCTAGATGTAACTTGAAATGCACATTTCCTTAATTTGGTTCACTTGGAACACACATTTTCTAGAACACCGTACTATCCTGGTTCTAAAGATCCCATTGTGGTAGGAATGAAACTCAAGATCTTGCGTTGTAGCCTCCACCATATTGACAATTTGATCTTAATCTCACTCCTAATGATTTGTAAAGCAAAACTGATGACTTAGACGCATTGAATATCACATTCATTTATGTTTCTCGAATATCACATTCCTCACATTTTCGAAGAAAATAACCTGGCAATTGAAAGTTAATTCATCAACATCAAGTTTGCTTGCAAAAGTATTCTTAAGATGGGAGGATACAGTTATCCTAGTTCTCCAAGGATCCAAATGGCCCCTAATGGATGATATACCCAATAGACCGTGACCCACATTCCAAAATCCAGACCAACCAAACAATCAATTACATCACATGTTCATCTTCTGTGAAGGAATGAGAAAGGTTACATTGGTAGTACCTGATTCTGTGTTATTGACGTTATTGCATGCTCCTTTTAAATGTAGGTTAGTTGGGATTTGAATTTTGAAGCTTGGGCAAAGTGTTTTGGTCCCTTAATGCCCTATCACCATGCCAAGAGACCCGAACCCCAAAGTATTACTCATATTTTTCTCTTTCTTGTGCTTGATAGTTTGTTTCCTTGCCACCCTACCCCTAGTCCTTTGCCTTGACCCTAAGTTTGGGAGACCTTTCAACTTGTTTGAAGTTTTGAACATGGACATGGTTTAATGTGTGGGAGGTTAGAAGATTGGAAGTGAGGCAAGGAGATTCTATGTGCATCCGAGATGAGCATAAAGTTATGGGAATGTGCCATTTGTGTTTATCAGGCTAATATTATTGTGTGACATTATTATTGGCTTATTTCCGACTTTTTATTCAAAATCTATGTAATTAAATGTCTTTTAAAGACATATAACACGTATGTATAGACAATAATTATAAAGATTGGACCGGATCAACCAGTCAAGGCATCGTCAACGCGTGATTGGTGTGGTCTAAATCGAGAACAAGTTTTGACTGCAAAATACTTGAAACATACCAATTTTGTCCCATCAGATCAACTCAATCGAACCACCAAAACAATGTTGGCTAATTTTTTGTAATATGTTTTCATACTTTTAAACTATTTATCAGGTTTTCATTCTTTTTGATATATCCAATTGATCCATTTCGATCGAAAATCATGACCCAATTTGAGCTAGGCCAAACTCCTAATCTGTTCAACGGTGGACATGACTAACTCTGCTAACATTGATCTAGATGAGAGGCCGCTCAGCCAATAACTTTTATCGTGATCTAGAATTGTGCTTAGGTTTGAGTGGATCATATGTTTTTTTTCGAAATAAGTAAAAAGTAAGTTAGTAGGGATTTGGGCACCCACTTTTTGGTGAGAATGGAGTCTGAGACTCCATCATAAGGGTCAATGGTACTACCATCAAGGCCGTAACCCATTTTAAAAAAAAATGTTTAAGTCAGTCGGGAATTTGAGCCCATACCCTTTGGTGATAATAGAGTTAAAAACTTCATCATGGAGCTCGACAATACTACTGCCCAAGCCCCAAATCAAATGTTGATAATTGAAACACTACATCCTAAGTTCGATTCCGATTCCTATCAATGAACTACCCCCTCTAAAAACAAAAAAAACAAAAAACGAAGGAAAAAAGAAAAAAATTCTTATCATGAATCCCAATATTTGTCTCACTTCCATGGATTCCAAGAGCACATGTACGGTATTTGCCTTCAGTCGTGTGAGTGACTTAAGTACTAAAAAGGTCCATTTATATCATATCACTAGGGATGCAAAAGGAGGGTACTTAGTAATTTCCGCATGTTCCCAAGGCTAATGGGTTTTCATTTCCAATGCAAAGTTTTAAACCATAACTTTGTAATAAGGCAAAGAAGTATAATAATAGTACGAAATCCCACTTTTGCCATGAAATGATTAAATGCACACGCTCCAACTTTCAACGAACCACGAGGGTTTCATCGTAATATTTCGAATTTAAGAGGATTAAAACGGCAAATATTTAACTGCTTTAGTGAGCCCTCATTTAGCTTTAATTAGTCTCAAAACACCAGCTTTAAATGAACAAGGCATCAGACGGTCGATATCGGCGCTAACTTCCAATCACGTGATCTCAGGCGTTCATTTGACAGTGCAGCTCATCAAAGCCAAGGCCAAGTTTGAATTCGAAGCGAACCACGTGGCACGATAGCGACCGCTGCGATCAGTGCTTATAAAAACACAGACTGCAAACCAATCTGAAATTCGAAATTCAGCTGAGAAGCGCGAAAATGGCGGAAGAGAGAGAGAGGATAATGTCTAGAGCGAGAAAGAGAGAGGATAATGTTTAGAGAAAGAAAGAGGGAAAGGGAGTCAGAGAAGAGACATAAGAGAGAGAGGAAGGATAACGCTAAAAAAGAGCGCTATCATTCATTGAGACATGAGGCAACAGGCAAGTTGCTGGACCATCAACATTTTCAAGCCCTAAAAATAGGCTTATTATAGGTTTATTCAGTGTTCATCTTTTAACAGTTTGAGGCTTTTGATATTTGAAAGCAGCTTTGTGCTTTTTCTTTGTCACAGTGAGGATGGTGAATTTGGGCTGTGATAATTGTTAGGGTTTATGAAGGGTTTATTTTTTGAAATGAAGGGATTCCGTGTTTTGAGCTTATTTACAGGTTTAGTGGCGGAAATGCTTATTTCATACTCATTTTGCTAGTTCTTCTTCAGTTTTTTCCATTAAATTGATATAGAAACCGTAACTTTCTTTTCTACTTGCTGAAATGTATAGCAATTGAGGCACATTTCAGCTCGTGCTTTCTAGATTTTTTTTTTTCTCTGCTTAATATTTTATGAATATCGTGTTCCTGAATTTCTGCATGAGTTTGTCCGGATTCGCCATTAATCTATTGGAAGTACAGGTTTTTTTGCTTGGATTTCTCTATGCATTTTAGGCATGGATTATTATTTCATTTAAATTTCTAGTGGGGTGTTCGTTGTTTCAAATTTGTCAATGCGCAATGTAAATCTGCTGAGTGCTGACTCACGTAAGTGCTCTATAGTTTAGCATATTATTTTTTATTTATGGATTATTTTGTGGTTTTACTGATTTAAACAGACGATTGGTATGAAGCTTAGTATTGGACACACACACATATATATATCTATATATATATATGCTGAAGCCACATATTTCTTTTGAAAAATTTATTTATCTGGGACTAGAATTGCTGCTTGTTCCTGCAACCTTTGTTTCTGTGTCCTCGAGATACTCTCTCTCTCTCTCCCCCTCTTGTGTATGTGTGTGTGTTTCAGCAGTGTGTGTGTCCATGTCTGGGTGTGTGTGTGCACGCTCCTGTACACGCACATGTGTTTGTTCTTTTTTCCTGCATACTTTAGTCTCTATTTATTAAGCTTTTCTTTTCCCACTGATTCTATATTTATTTAGCTTTTCATTTCCCACTGATTCTTTGTCTGTCTATGATTTTCCAAGCACCCTAGCTTTTCGTATCTTGCTTGAATGGGAAATACTCTCTCTCTCTCTCAAACTCTTGTCAAATTTCTCCTCAAATTGCAATCTTCTTACTTTTTTGGTCTGACAAGTATTATCACCTTTATAACTTCCCCAAAAATAAGTATAGTCATGTTTATGTGTATTTTGGCTTTCAGTTAATTGGGCAAGCAACTCGAAAATCATTTGTATGAAAAATTGATTTTTCCGCAGGTATTAAGTGGATTAAACACATCTCCTCAGCATTTTCACTGGAGAAGCTTGCTGGGTTTGTTCCCAAAATATTCTTTGCTGGGATTAATTCGATCATCTTAAGCAGCAATGAGGCATGAACTTAACCAATCTGTTGAGTCCTGAATGTTTCGGGAATGTATTTTTCCTGCAAATTTCCCATGCATTCTCTATTGTTTAATGTTTGAAAAGTCTTGACACTGTCATGGGCTTGATATACATTGGGTCTGTCAAGGTAAAACTTCCAGAAAAAGGGCCAAACCAGAGGAGCTTCATATAAATTGGGTATGACTCTTATTTATTTGAAGTAAGTTCTAGTTAACTTTTCTCATGATTCAAACCAGAGGAAGTAAGCTCTTCTCAGTTGAAACTCGAATTATGAAGTCATATCCAAAGCCAAAAGCCCAGGGTAAGATTAACCCTCACCAAGCTGCTTTCGAGCTTAAGCAACGGGTTGTTCTTTCACTCAATAGGCTTGCAGATAGGGATACATATCAAATTGGGATGGATGAGTTGGAAAAAACAGCTGAGAGTTTGACTTCTGAAGGGTTCGGCCCCTTTCTTTCATGCATAGTGGAAACCGATTCCGAACAAAAATGCACAGTGAGGAAGGAATGTGTAAGGATCTTGGCTACATTAGCGAAGTTTCATGGTGGGCATTTGGGGCCATATTTAGGAAAGATGATTGCTAGTATAGTTAAACGCCTTAAGGATCCAGATTCTAATGTGAGAGATGCTTGCATTGAAACAGTAGGTATTTTGGCGTCAACCATGATACATCCTTTGGGAAGTTGTGATTCTGAAAATGTTGGTCCCCTTGTTGTGTTTCTGAAGCCCCTTTTTGAAGCACTTGGGGAACAAAACAGGCAAGTGCAGTCTGGTGCAGCGTTATGCTTGGCTAGGGTGATTGATGCAGCCATTGATCCACCATCAATGATTCTTCAAAGGATACTAATGAGGATTGTCAAATTACTTAAGAACCCACACTTTTTGGCGAAGCCAGCAATTCTAGAGTTGATTGGGAGCATTATTCAGGTTCAAATCTTTACTGTTTATTAATTAGTTGAACCTCATATTTTCAGTTGCTTCGTTGAATTTCCTTTACAACCGAATTTATGTTTGGACATACTAGTAGGAGCTTTTATGTATTAATTGATTCCTGTGGATGTGCATGCATGCATGCATATATGTGTATATAATCTTAAATATTGGTGCTACCATCCATAATTATTAAAATTTGTAATGTTACAACTGGGAAGAAACTGGTGGTGGGGTGTGGGAGGTATCCTGTGAAGCATTCTCCTTAGTTTACTTTGTAATACTCAGACTTGGAGTTGATTATCCCCTCCTGACAATGTTAATAAAATATTATTCGGAGAATCTGTTAATCCGACATAACTGTGGCATTTATATCATGTCAAGAAAATCTTAGTCCCTGGTCTGCATTTGTTAGTTTAAGGGGTGGAAGCTGTCTTAAACACATTCTTTCTATTGCCACAAATTTTTTCATTCTTGGGTGAGGTTAGATTTGTCAAATGCACATAAACCTACTAGGGACAATGTGGTCTTCTGATCATTGTGTCTTGTATTTAATGCTTATGTTTTTACGCTCTTTACTTGAAAATAAGGCAGAAAAAAAAAAAACAACAGAAAAAAGGCATGTCTGGATCCAATGCATATTGGTCAATCCTTTTACGTAGCCCAAAAAAATAAAAACTAAGCTTTTGCACAAGATTTGGCTATATTTATAAATGCGAGCAATGGTTAATTGAAATTGCTTCACTTTTCAGGCAGGTGGTGCTTCCACACTACAATCATTGTCTTCCGCAATGACTGCTATCCAGGAAGCTCTAAAAAGCAGCGAGTGGACAACACGTAAGGCTGGTTCTGAGGCACTTGCACGCATAGCTCTAGGTTGTGGCCTTAAAGTAACATCTTTCAAGTCTTCTTGTATCAATTCCCTTGAATCCTGCCGCTTTGATAAGGTATATTTAAACATGCAATATTTTATTTTATATTCAGGGTGGTCGTGCCATCAAAAGTAATCCTTTACTTCTTGCTTTATATATAGGTGAAGCCTGTACGGGATGTAGTTATGCAGGCTTTGCAGTATTGGAGAAGCCTTCCTAGTCCTTGTTCTCCTACTGCTTCCGAAGTAGGGTCATCTACTAAAGGTTTGGGTTCTCCTTTGGCTTCATATTCTATAGAAGAATGCTTTCTAAAAGTTGCATTCTTATTACCTTTTTTCTCTATGTGGTGTTAATATGGATCGGCAGTAACTTAAATTCTGATTCTTTTTAGAATTTTCAAATGACCTACTACAAACTTGCACATATCTTTGTTGATTTGTCATCTTGATCTATCCATTCATATATTCTTGCCTTCGGTATGCTTGTTAGCAAAGAAGTTTTCTCCACTTAGGGATCATGTTTAAATGACTTAAACCAGCTAAGCATGGATGTGGATGTGCAAAGATTTCCTTCTTCCAATTGTTGGTTTAGGAGGTCATTTGATATACGCTTGCAGTTTGTGATGGCTTTTGTGATTCCTATTTCTAGCTCTAGGTTAAGCCACTGAATTTGTTCATTGACCTACAACAAAATCTTGTTTCCCAAGGGCAACAAACAGATGTCAAGGAGTTGTGACTACCATGCACCAATTGGTTCATTTACATGCAGTGGAAGGCACAATAAATGTACTTATGGGCTTTAGGGGGTGGTTTTGGGGCTTTTAAGTTCAGATATCGCGTACTTAAAGGCTTTAGGGGGTGGTTTTGGGGCTTTTAAGTTCAGATAGGGGTCTTTATTGGTATTTCCAAAGATCTGGGAGATTATATTGCCAATATAATTTCATTATTTTTTAGTTATTTCTAAGATAAATATACTTTCTATTAATATTGAACATCAGTAATCATAGGTGGGACTGGGATAGAGATGGTCTGGGCCAATTTATGCTTTATTACATTGTATCCTTCTTGCGGGGGGCTGAATTCTAAAGATGACATTAGATATTTTAGAAAATGGTAGGGTATCAGGTGTGAGGCAGTAAAATTCAGTCATTTCAATTTGTTTGGAGGAGATTGTTCTCCTTTTAAGAGTGCTTAGGGAGGAGCGCCTTGTCATTATGTTAGGGAATGATAAACATCGTCAATATAGCGCATTTAAAATAAGAAAATCATTACAAATTTGACAGTCAAAGGAAAACATAACTTGATTGAATGCATTAGCAACAACTTGTTGATTTCATTTCAATTAAGCAAATGATAGTGATTTTTTTTTTAAAATAAGTTATTTTCTTGCGACGGTGGAGTTAAGCTGTATGTGAAACCCTGCTCATGTTTAACAGAGAATCTCTGTGAAGGCAACTCAACAGACTTTGGGAGTGTAAGTGACAGTGGGTGGAAAGATAGGAATGATATCCTGCTTAGGAGAGCTGGTGGCCCCATTGCAAATGGTAGTGGGACTCGCTTGGTAAAGAAAAGAACCCCTTTAGCTGACAGGAAAACTGACCAGAACTTACATGACAAGTCACTGCACGAAAAAACAAATGAATGGCATGTTGAGATTGCTCTCCCAAAAGCTCATTCTGCTACTATGGCTGAATCCCACAATGAAGAATCTGAGAGTAGCTGCATCACCAAGGCCATCACAAGAACAGTGACATCTAGTGACACCATTCAAGACATCCCAAACAATGGTGTGGCTGACAATAAACCAGAGTGTTCTTCCATATCCGATCTAGCTACTAGTGACTTTGAGACTAAGCATGTGATGAATTCGCTCACACAGGTGCCGGTGGGGAATATGGATAAACCTGTGGTGATGAGTGATAGGCTTGCAGCTAAGGAGAACTATCCCGAGGAGAGTCAATTCATGCAAAGAAGGCGGGAGAGAGACAGCTTGGATTCTAACATCTCGGAACTGTGTTCGCAGGGATTAAATCATTGTTGTTTGCACGGTGAAAATGGATTGACCCTTGTTCAGAGACATCTTTTAGAGATTGAAACTAAGCAATCACATTTGTTGGATCTTCTACAGGTATTTTTTCAATCCATGGTTTTTATGACTGTCCTGAAATGTTTTTCAATCATATTAATTGAAATTACCTTATTGCTTTGACCTTCTTTGCTGTTTTCTGTGCATGTCGTGAAAATTTTAAGTTCTGTTTCCTTTGTTTAGAGCATAAATCCTTTCTTTCTTTGAAGTGGAAGATATGAATCCTCCCATGGAGATTTGAATAGTGAAAATTCTTGTCCTGACTTGATGTGGCATATTTCTTAGTAATTTGAAACTAAAATGGTCAACCAAGGCCATGGGTATTAGATGTAATATGTCCTAATCAGTCTAAGCAACTGAAAGACAGAATAAAAAGAGAAACAAAAAGTCTCTACAAACTAAGAGTGAAAGTTTGTCCTGTATCGAAGGAATGGAATTTTCTTGATTTCGTTTTTTTCTCTGAATGTGAATGTGCTTCTTTTGTTCTTCTGATTTAATCAGGTATTTATGGGGACTTCAATGGAGCAGCTATCTCTATTGCAGTCCAAGGTGCTCGGTCTAGAAAGGACTGTTGATGAAATAGCACAAGACCTGGCTCTCTCAAAGGGCAGGTCAAAGGCTCACTACGGAAACTGTTCTAACCCTGCCAGTTACAAGCTGTGGAAAAAGAGTCAAAGCCTAACCTCCTCCCCTAGGGTTTCTACATATAGTCCCAGGCCGTCTGCGGACAAAAAAATTCCACAAAGTCCTATGTTACCAACCCATTTCAGGGAACAATGGGAAGAACCACCATCTGTGAATTCCAAATTAAGACCGCCTGTTAAACAAGGTATAGACCACTGGAGGGATCCTAAAACAAAAACTATCCGAAACTCCACGGCAAAAGGGGTTCAAGAAACCCAAATTTATGGTAATCAAATCTCAGGGAAATTTGATGATCATGGCCCTAGGAAGAGCCGCCAAGTAAACAAAGCACTAGAACAATTCACTTCGCTATCTGAGAACAATGCTAAGCATGTTGTCTCGGAATGCAGGAAAAGCTCGGTCTCAACCAATGCTTCCCTTCATGTCATGTGGGAACATGTCAAGGAATTCCTACATTCTGGTGACTTTGAATCAGCATTTGTGGAGGCTCTATGCTGTGGTGATGATCACCTTCTATTGAAGCTTATGGATAGGACGGGCCCTATTATGGAAAGGTTATCTCAAGGAACAGCAATTGAAATTCTTCGTGTATTGGCAGCTAACTTGCTTGATTGCAAATTTTTGGAGATCATCATTCCTTGGTCAGAACAGGTACCAATATGATACTCTTCATGGTGCTGTTTAACTTCCTTCTCAGGCATTCAATAATTTTGGGTTTGTATTCTGCTCAAACATGTTGGTAGTCTTCGGGTTTATCGAACTATTACACCAAGACGTTCGTAGTCGGAAATATTTCCTTTTCTTTAATGAAGTATAGAGAACATTTAGTTAAATCATTATGGTTTCCAAAAGTATACAAATAAACTTGACTTGCCAGTAAAAAGAAAATAGGTTTGGGAATGCCTTTTGCATTTCGCCTGTGCGTTCACATACGTAGGCACGTGCATGCGTGTCATGCCTCACTTTTTTGATAAATGAATTTCTTGTGAGTTTCAGGTAGTGGATTTAAGCGCTGGGCGTGAGCTGGATTACCTTGTTCTCTCCTCAAAAGACAAAAGGGAGTTTTTGTCTGCTCTACGGGAAGCAGCAGCAATGCATTTTCCAGAGCTTGCACACCGGAGGTGCATTGCCAAACTTTCATTGAAGTTAGGTCAAGTCTGGGGTGAGACCTCTTATATCTGCTTGGCTCTCTCTAATTGCTCTATCCTTGTCTTAAACTATTCTTGAATATTCTTTGTCAATCTAATGATCTTTTCATTTTTAATAAATCATTCGAATGTTGAACCAACAAAATGCCCTCAATGTCAATGAAAGTATCTTGTTGCATAAACATAAGTGCACTGCTTTTCCTTACTGCCAATTGAATGGATCAGATCATCCCTTACATCAACTATCCATGGTCTTAGATCTGTGGAACTGTTTTAGGGTTTATTTGTTGCAAATCATGTAATAAAATATCCATTTTGCTTTTAAGAGCTTGTTGATCTCATTACCAACAAAAGAAAAAACCTTGCCTTGTTTCATTGAAATCCTTGGAAGTTATAGCCATTCTTTATAACCTTTAAATCAGACAGAACTGCTTGACAAGTCGAGTGATTTTTCTTGTCTTGTAGGAAAATGTTCCTGAAACTCTACGAATCTCAAGCAAGAATAGTGGGAAAGACTGCAATGGCGATTAAGATTTTGCATGTCATTTGTACAATGTGGTCATTCAAATCGTTTTCAAAGAAATGTGCCATTATTTTGCTATTCCAAGTTTTAACTTCTGTATAAAGCTGTCCAATTTTGATATTCACAACAGCTTTCACAATGTACCTGGTTTGTCAAACTATACTAGGGTATCGAATGGTCTGTTTTTATACTATTAGTCAGTATTTTCTTTATACAAGTCTAATGCCGTTTGGTCAGATTAGAAGCAATCAATGTATTAAAAGGCAGCTCGTCTCCGAGGCCTTAGGAGAGGATGTCTCATCTAGACTAGGTGGGGCACCTAAGGATGGGTCCCCTATGTGGACATGGGGTTGGTCCCTTCATAGCCGTGGGGCTAGGCGGCTAGGTCAGTCCGAGTGCTGGGCCTTTTTTCATTGTCTCTAGGTTGTGGGGGTTGGGGCAAATCCCCATGAGAAGTTAAATCTCGTTCTAGAGTAGCCGCTAGAGCGAGCGCAAGAAAGGACTTGTGCAAGCATGATGTGAATTGTACTCGCTCGAATGGCCTTCAGTAGTTGCAACATCATCTGTGAAGGATTCAACAGATTGCCTACTTTATTCGGTAAGCCCTGCCTATCTGCATAAACTAGGGTGTTTGGTATCCAATCCAAAGATCCTCCACGCCCACCTCCCCCACGACAGGAAAAAAAAAACCTGCTTTTTTTTGGCCTTTTATAACACTACTTGTGATCAAATGATATGGTCATAGATTTATTTTGGCCTTTTATAACACTACTTGTGATCATATGATATGGTCATAGATTTATCATGATGATATGTTAATGGAAGCTAAGCTCCTAGCTTTCTTAGGCGTTCTTATCCCCTCAATAGTAGTTCTTTTCATTGCAGTAAAAACAAGAGAATGGGTAGTAAGCCCTTGGAACTTTCAAAACAAAGCTTAGGGACTTAACATTGAGAAAAGGATGCCGGTATGAATTTCAGTTTAAATTGGAAACGCGCTATGTTTTTGGAAAAAAGTTCGAATAAAAAAAAAAAAGGTGCGGTTTGTATAGAGCCGAGGCTCTAAACAATCAAAGTAAAGTGCAACCTGAAATAGTGTTGAGAAATGTGGTTTCAATATTGGAAATCTTTGTGATAGCCTTAAAATATATTTTCATTTTTAATTATAAAACTTTAAAGCTTTACAAAATAGTGCAGATCGAGCAGGTTGATGAAAACTTCAAAATTTGGAAAATTGACAATCCAAAAATACGTTACAAGATGCATTATTTCCAAAACTCGAAATTCATTTTTTTCTCATGTCTATGCATCTTGATGTCGAGATAATCAATTTGATGATATTTAGACATCAAAACAACCTCTTTTAGTGAAATTTTTAAAGTGAGCTCTAATTTGATTGTTTAGAGCTTTGGCTCTATATAAACTTTTCCCGAAAAAAAAAAAACACTTCCGAGATTCTTCTAAACTTATTAGGATACTGCTACTTAAAAAAGCCAAAATGATACTAGCCCGCAAATTTTGAGGAGCTTCTGCCATAACCTAAGTCCTTATAAAATCATTTGTATATACTTATGAGAAAGTCCTTATCGAGTTCATGATCTTCAAAGCATCGAGTACATCCTGAATTTGAGAAAAATTTCAGTATCCGTCACATATTCAAGCATATTTTGCAGGAATGCCTACCATATTCCACAACATAATCAAGCACAACCACACTTGGCGACTTCAAAATCTTAGTGTTTATGGGTTGAAAGCTCGAGATAGCATATTGACACCCGTTTTACAGTGATATTTCAGTCATTTACATCAAAGTACCAATCAATAGAAAAGCAGATTTAATTAACTTCGATGAAAAGAACGAAACCAAATTTGTTGGCATAGAGTTTAAAGTCAAAGATCATACAAGTCAGACTCACTTCCAAATGGTTTCCTTGCTCCACACCTTGCAGAGGAATGTTTTTTCTGCCCTGGCATGTAGTCCTGAGAAGGGCTATACAAACCAGTTTCATTTGGTGGTTCGCTCTTTCTCCTTCCATTGGGCAGTTTTTCTCTCCTCCTCTCGTGTCGGTAATGGGCTTCTTGATCTCCCTCACTTTTTCGAGGTCGCCTCTTCTCCTCTTTCTCACTTATTCGAGGTGATTTCTTCTCCTCTCCTTCACTTCTTCGAGCTGATTTCTTCCCCTCTCCTTCGGTTCTTTGAGGTGACTTCTTCTCTCTTGGGGCTTCTTCTCGGTCCCCTTCACTTTTTTGAGGTGATTTTTTCCCCTCTTTAGGGGAATTATCACCCACATTTTTGGGAACCTCGTAAAGAGTAACACTACCGCCAGCTGTGCATACAAGCTTCTCATTTTGTGTGTCAGGCTCTTGTAGAATCTCTAGTAAATCAACAACTTCGCTCATAGTTGGCCTACCCTTAGGGTTTTGGCTAAGGCAATTGTAGGCCAAGTTAGCAACCTTTAGGGCACTCTTAACAGTGTACTGGCCTTCCATTCTTGGGTCCAGGATCCTGGGGAGCTTTCTATTGTGGTTGAGGAGAGGGCGAGCCCACTCGACCAGGTTGTGCTCTCGGCTAGGCCTGCTCTTGTCCATGGCCCTCCTCCCAATGAGCATTTCAAGAAGCACCACTCCAAATCCATAGACATCACTTCTTGCTGTTAAATGGCCTGATTACAAAGGCCCACATGGCTTAGTCCAAATTTAAGAAGAAGGTGTTATAATAAAAAAGATTGGGGTTTAGGGCCATTAAGGGGGAGAAAAATGTTATAGAGTTCTATGAAGTAGATTGCTGAAGTGAATAGTTGAGCTTTTTAAGCTCTACACATAATTTGTGCATCAAGATCTCTGTGTAGTAGTAGTAGATTAATGAGAAAAATATTGAACCTTTAAGAGCTAAGATTCTAGTAGCAAAGATGGATGATTTGACTAGACTGTGTCATTGACAAAAGTGAGGGTGATTCTTTGAACTGATATGGTGCTTGGGGATTTAATTTAACCTTTAAACATCTTAAAAGATTACTAGGCTGTATTTGGAATTAGAACTTACCAGTCATCACATACTCAGGAGCTGCATAGCCATAAGTTCCCATCACCCGAGTGGAAACATGAGTCTGATCTCCCATTGGTCCATCTTTTGCGAGTCCAAAATCTGAGAGCTTGGCCGTATAATCCTACAGATTAACATGGACAATATTAGATATAGAGATGAATCAAATCAGGACAGGGATATCCTGAAATTCAAAGAGGAAATTCCAGAAAAGTTGCATATTTTCTAGTGTAAAAACTTTCATATGGACAAGAGAAACCAGCAATCTGTTTGAACTACCAAGTTTGTGGAAGGGTTATCCTATATAACAACCAATTTGACTGTAGGGTCATCCTGTTTTTAGAAGAAGAAAATTACCTCTCGAATAAAGCTAGACGTACATACTTTCCATTTTATAGCTACTGGGTGCTTTTTGAGGCCCCATCAAATTGTGAAATAAATATACAGTTTCACTTTTTTTCTCTTGATGAATAAATTATACTTGCTCTAAAAATGGGTATCAATATTTCTTTGGTATTTCCGGAATCAATACTTCTTCGGTATTTCCATTTTTAGTTCATTTTTCGTTCACAAACAATTGAGGTTTTTATAATAATATTTGTGTGGTGTGTGTGTGTCAGAGAGAGAGAGAGAGAGAGTGAGTTTAGAACTATGTAATAGAACATTCTAGTAACAAGACAAAGGAGAATTGAGCAGGAAGTTAGACCAACCGCATCAAGCAAAATATTTGATGTCTTGAAATCACGATAGATAATTGGTCTATCGGCTCCATGAAGAAAGGCAAGCCCTTTAGCTGCACCGAGCGCAATCTTCATTCTGGTTGACCAAGGCATTGTAACACAAACTCCTGTGATAGTCAATGAATTACTTAAATTTTTCTTTCTTTTTTCAAGAGAACATAGACATAAATCTATTTTTTTCACAGAATTATGAGAAGAACATATTCGTTCCCAAAACCAATTATAAAGTTAAAAACTAACCAAGCTATCCTGAATTATCAGAAAAGAAACTGGAAGAGTAATTTTTGGGTAGTGCTTAGGTGGAAAGTTACTTCTGATATCACAAATACTATAACAAGTAGCAGATGAAAAGCAAACAAATAATGAGGAGGTGAATATTTAGGCCACAAGGTTGTATACGTACTCCGGAAGAGGTGCTTTTCAAGGCTTCCACAAGCCATATATTCATAAACCAAGAGTCTATGCTCGTCCTCGCAACAATAGCCGATGAGTTTAACCAGATGTGGATCGCTCAGCTGCCCTAGATAATTGACCTCTGCCTGTGAAAAGCCACAGATGGTCCATGAGTCTCACAGAGAGAGAGAGAGAGAGAGAGATGTATTCACATTCCACGGGCACATACACTTTGTCCATTACTAAGATCATGGTGCCAAATTTGTTCCCATTACATAACAATATTCCTATAACTACTGAGAACTACAAAAAAAAAAATTAAATTATCCCTACTAAGGAAACAACATGTTTCTTTGTATTTGATGCACCCATGGACTCAGAAAGATTATCATTTAGGCAATAATCAGTATCACCCATGGGTTTCACCATTGTTATTGACTTCTATCGAAGCCAAAAAAGCGAATAACTTATATTACCCAAAAACCAGAAATGTCACATTAATTTTTGCAGGAACTGAATTTGCAAGGGAAAAAGCATCAATACATTCTTTTTTTTGGTAGAGCTCTCGTGCTTTTGAGCTCTCAATAAACCAATGCTACTTCATAAGAAGGAAAGGAAAAAAAGAAAAAAAGAAGAAGAAAAAAGGAGAATCCAAATAGCAATCTCAATATGTAAATTTCTCAGTGACCATACAAAACTTTCATGTATAATACCTACCCACATCTTGATCCACAATCCATGATAGATTAACAAACTGAATTTCAATGCGAAGAGATACGAAACGAAATTTTTTTTAGGGAAGCAACTTACAAGCCATTCTCTATCACCTTGGTACCCTTCGGGATTTAGCTCCTTGATGGCTACCTGAGTGGACTGGAAGCCTTGCCTCACATTCTCATCAATCAGTCCTTTGTATACAGGCCCAAACCCTCCTTCTCCAAGAATTTGATCAGGCCTGAAATTCTTGGTGGCCAATCTCATCTCTTGGTATGTGAAGATATGGACATTAGAGACCGATGTTTGCCTGAGATCTTCGACCTCTCTTTTGGGCGTCAGCGGTGTGACATTGTGGAAATCAGAGGCTACTGAATTTGATTTCTTCGACTTTGATGGAGCATAAGGATGACCATCCTCACCTGCAATAACTCCAAATGAAAAAAAAAAAAAATCAATAACAATAATGATAAAAAAAATAACGCCTTAGCCAAAAAAGAGAAAAGCTAAATTAATACCCCATTACTGTTAAGATTTATATATATCTCTTTTTTGGTGGGGGGATATATATTTCATGAGAGCTATTTAGCCGAAAAGAGAACAGGTGAGAAGCATCTCCATAGTTGTGGATTTGTTTTTTTCATGGTGTTAATTATCAAAAAAGAAAATGATAATATGATGAAATAAAAGCTGTTTCTTATGGTTATATTCAAAATAAAAAAATGCTATTCCTTTTTGATAAAAATAAAATCTATCTCACCAGTCTGCATTGTTGGTGATTTGGTTTTCTTATTATTGATTAGTAGTGAGTTTTCTCAATGGCCAAATTTGCTTCTTTTTGTAATTTCCCTAATATTCACTTTCTAAAATTTGCTCCTTTGTATTATTCAGTCTAAAATCTAAATAAAACAACAATAAAAAAAGAACAAAAAAATGCAAGAAAAAATTACCCGATTTTGTGAGAGGTAAAGAAGTATCAGCTGGGGCTATACAGTTTCCCATGAATTATTTGTCTTCAAACAATATTAATCTCATCCTTCCATTTTATACCTCAAAAAAGCAACAGAGGTGGCCAAAAGATAAGTATCAATTTGTACCCAAAACCACCATTAAATGGGGATTTTTCCCAGTGATTTTCTCGCAATAACCAGAGGAAAAACCACCTGAATATGTCATGAAACCACGGAAAAGCGGTTTTTTGGTCTGGTTTTACCAACTAAAAGCCAGGTAAAAAACAGCCTGTTTTCACCAATGGATAAGTCAGATCAAAAGATACTGGGTAACACACATCAACTGGATATACGACTTTTCTGGCAACAAAAGAACTGTTTTCTGGCCAATAATCCGGCCGAAATCAGAATCTCCGACAACTAGGGGTTTTTCCAGCAAAAATAAGATTTCCCGGCGATTCTACTAAACAGAATCTCCAATCGAGTCGCCCGCGAAAGTTAAGGCCAGGCCCTTATTTCGCCGGAAAAGAATTTCCCCGTAAGAAAGTGCTCGGATCCAGGGAGCTGGGAAAATTAACAGGCCAAAAGAAGAGAGAGGGAGAGAGAGAAATTAAGAAGAGAGAGGGAGAGAGAGAGTGTGAAGAGAAAGAATGCGATCCGGTGCCCGTGAAAATGGTGCTTGGATCGTGTTTTTTTGAGGTGCATTTTATTATATATTTTATTATTTATACGATGAATGGCCGCCTCTAACGCGAACCCTGAAAATTATCCTATTTTAAATTCCTTCTTTTACAATATGCTAAACAACCTCGATCTTCTAGTAAATTACAGAAGTATCCCTCAAAATGCACATTTTTCGGAGTTGGCCTTTCTCAAAATGGCAAAGGGGTCCCTAAGGTGCCCACTGGGGATTGTATAATCATGAGACTATTTACTTTTAAAAGAAGGTAATCACAATTATTTACACGTGAATAATGATCTTATGGGATTTTTTTTCCATATGCATAGGACTTCAAATAATTATTATTAAAATTGATACGGACATCTGAAAAAATTATCAGATGAGTATGTGACTTGAATTTTTTATAGATCTGTACCAAATTTAATAATAATCTTTTGAAATCCTATACATATAGGTGGGAGAGGATAATATAGGATCATTTCTCTTTACAGCTATCGGATGCGAAATTTGATAGCTTGGATGTGTTACAAAGTTCGAAATTTTTTTTTTTTAAGCTTGAGCTTGGTCAATGAATAATTTCAGCCACCCAATTTTACGTCCAACGGTAAAAATTAATATGACCACCTTGTATCAAAGATAAATGATCACATTCTATATTTTCTCTAATCTTGATGCTCCGGTCTTTTCTTAAAAGGAATTGTTTTTATAAGGTCTCAAGTAAGGTGCACCTTAAAGACCCTCTAATTGACCATCTCGACCATGATATGTATGGATAGAAAAAAATAAATAAATTTTAAACATTTAAAATAATATATTTTGTAACACATTATTTATACCGCCCATTATTAAGATTTTAGAGTATTCATATATCAATTCTGAAGCTTTCAATTACTCTTTCATAATAGGGGTGAAAAGAAATTTTTAGGCCATCTCAAGAGCTTCGTCCCCAAAAGTGCATCTTTTAAGAAGATTCAAGGTGTACCTTACCGTGATTATTTAGAGTTGGCAAAGGAAAAGGTTCATAAAGAGCCAAGCTCTAAACAATCAAATTAGAGGCCACATCAAAAATTTCACTAGAAAATGTCGTTTTGATGTTCAAATCTCCTTAAATTGATGATCTCAACATCAAGATGCATGGGCACAAAAAAAAAAATGTATTTAAAGTTTTGAAAATAGTGCATCTTGTAATACCGTCAATTTTTCAGATTTTCAAGTTTTTATAGATCTGCTCGATCTATACTATTTTTGAAGCTTTAAATTTTATAATTAAAGATAAAAATATATTTTAAAGTTATCACAAAGATTTCAATATTGAAACTGCATTTCTCGACACTATTTGAAAGTGAACTTTACTTTGATTATTTAGAGCCTCGGCTCTATACAAACCGCACCCTTTTATAAACTAGACTTTAGTCTTAATTATTTCAAACCTTATAAAAAAGGCAGAGAATTGGATGGGTTGATGGACTTACTGCAAAGTATACGTTGTACGGTCCAGATTGACGAAGAACTATCATAATAGCAGAAAACAATGGGCTCATTTCACTGGTGACATGTAAAAATCTAGTAGATATATTAGAGAGGCTAAATGAACCTTATATGTATGAAAATTTCCAGGTCTATTGGATCTTTCTTTTTCTTCAAAAAATAAGTTGTCGCAGGATTGTAAATTATAAGCTTTGACATAAGAATGGTTATAATTGCTTGTATTTTTTTAATGTGAACTCTGGCATCTAAAACGACCATCTTAGAATTCAAATTTTTTGTTTTTTGAACTTTGTGCTTGACATTTCAAGTAAGTTGATTTCACATCCAACTATTAAACCCACCTTTACCAAAAGATAAGCAGTTTTATTGTATAATTGTTTACTTATGAAAAACACAAGTTCATCGTTTCTCTCTTTTTCCTTCGAACAACTAGACTGTTTAGCTCATATAATCATTTTTCCAAAAATGAAAATAGTGAATTAATACAATAAGGCATATGGCTGTAAACAATATTTATCCCATCTTTCATGCTCAAGGTGATTGTGTAAGTTGGAAGAGGTTTGTACAAGGTGCCCATCTTAAACAATCAAAGTAAGTTGTACCTCGAAAACTTTTACGTTGCCTCAAAATCCATTTCTACGCTTTATAATAAAATTTAAAGCTCCAAAGATAATGCAGATCGAGCAGATTAATCGCTTAAAAATATTAAAAATAGACGGTCCATATAATATGTTATAAGATGCACTATCAAACGAATAATATGTTATGAGATGCACTATCAAAGCCTCCCCCCACCCGTTGAGCAATGAGTGAGACATATTTCTATAAGCCTAGACACTTTGTATAAACTTTTTCCTCTTGCAACATTGTGATTTACTCTAGGTCTTTGAGTCAAGAATCCATGACAAATTGAGAAAGACCTAGTGTTTCGTCATTTTTAGAAAAGGGATCATGTTTAGTCACTTTTACAAAGGTCTTTGTTTTTGTCATTTTGCGTGGTTGAGGGTAAAGCCCTTAAAAAATGAGGATTTGTTTAGCCGACCTCAATTAATTGGATAAAAACTATAATGGTGGTTTGTTGGTCATTTTATTTATTTATTTTTATGATAAATATAGCCTCATGCAATATCAAATGGCCGTTTGGTCACATGTTTCAATTATTGCACGTACACTTAAATATTTCCATGACTTTAATTAATGAGTAATTAAGTACCTACTTCATTGATTTATTCCTCTTCTTTAAATGGAAGGTTACTTTTTGCCAGTTTTATGGGTTTTCACTCGAAGAAAAAGCAAGTTGATGGTTTTTTTTTTCTGAATGTAAATAATACATTTTTTATGTGCAAGGCATTATGCAAAGCCAATGCTTTTCTTGCTTTAAAAAAAAACGTTTATTGTGGATCTGTCTCTCCATTGACTTGGTCTAACCATAGTTAAGGCTCATAAGTTTGCTTAAATCATCAAGTTGTGAAGGAAAATCTTTGCCGGGAAATCTTGGTTTTAAAAAGTCGAACTCGGGTTTGGGCTTGTTAGGTGTCTGAGATAGTTAGCCTGTTCTGACTCGAGAGAATCCCGAATTGGACAGGGAATTTTTAATGAAAAGTAAAAAATACTCGAAAATTGTGGGGTTGGGATGATATTCGGATTTTCAACTTAGAACTGGTTGCCAACCTTTTTATTTGGTCCGACTTGTGTGATTCTTGAGTAGGTTGGGCTATTTCTGAAGCACTGGTTTGAATTGGTCTGAATTCTAAAGCTCCATGTACTTGGCTGATCTGTGTGACATTTTACCAAAATATTAAACTTTATTAAAAAACTCAAAAGGACTTTGATCATAGTCTTGGAAACTTAAAAGGACTTTGATCATAACTAGCTGAAGGCTCATGTATAATGCTCAAACATAAAATTAGATGAAAAATATAATTTTAAGTACTTAATTTAAAGAAAAAAGTTTATATAGAGCCGAGGCACTAAACCATCAAATTAGAGCCTACCTTAAAAATTTCATTAGAAGAGGTTGTTTTGATGCCCAAATATCTTTAAATTGATCATCTCGACATCAAGATGCATATACATGAGAAAAAAATGCATTTCAAGTTTTGGAAATAGTGCATCTTGTAGCGCGGTTTTGGACCCTCAATTTTCAAGATTTTCAAGTTGTCATATATCTGTTTGATCTACACTATTTTTGAAGCTTTAAAATTTATAATTAAATATAAAAATATATTTTAAGGCTATCAAAAAGATTTCTAGTATTAAAATAACTTTTCTTGATACTATTTGAAGATAGGCTCCAATTTGATTGTTTAGAGCCTCGACTCTATACAAACCGCGCCCTAATTTAAATTAAATGCCAATATAAGACATTTTTATTTTTTATTAAATTTCAATCTTACCAATATTATTTATACAATGTTTTGAAACATATCTATTTTTAAATATATTTATCTCAGTTCTCTTCTCTCTAGCACAAGATCCAATTCGATTTTTCTTAAATATTGGGTAATTAAACCCCATGTACTTAGCAGGCACACGCCTTAACCACTCCGCCAAAGCGTCGCTTGGATAAAATATTTATTTATATATATAAATCCCTATTTTGACATGATCTCATATTTAAATGAAAGATAGAGCACTTCTATCTACTAGTTATCTTAAAGTTTGCAAGAGGTCTGAATCGAGTAATAACTTTTCTCTTAAATTAATTGAAGGCATTAGGGAAACTGAAATTCAAAGGAGAATGAAAAAATTATTACAATTTCACACTCTATTTATATTCTCTCTCAGTAATATATACATCAATCCCAATTGCTTTATACAAAACCAAGCCTCAATACATCATAAGTTGTTCCGCTAGGACAAAGCATCTGCATTACTTTCATTGCATATCAGCTTTCAAAATCTGGACCAGTGAGGTAGAAGATTCACCCCACGAATCCATGCCAGATCATTGGATTGGCGATCCTGATCGGTGTGAATCAATTCAAATCGATAATTCAAAAAATTATTAAAAATAAAATAAATTAAAATCAAAGTTTCTAGATGGGGATTAGGGGAACAT